CAGGTCATGTAATGGCATCCTCATTTTATACAGGCCAGCTGCTTCCTGCCCCTTCCCTGTCTCCAAGTACCTGTACCATGGCAAGTTCTGGACAGCTCCCAGTGCTTCAGATCTCCAAAATCCCAGGCTTAGCTTTTTTAGGAATATTCAAAATGCTTTGCTCGCCCCTGGTGTTTTGTGAAACTATTTTTCCTTACTTCTGTAACACAGCTCATGCTATGTTACAAAGCAGGAGATTTTTAGAGGCTTACATGTTCCAGCAATCAGAGCTACAGTCCTTGCTAAAATGTAGACTCTTGCTAACTAAACTGCACCAAAATCACTCTTTCATAGACACTCCTGATAACAGCAGAGGCCAGGAGTGGACCACTCTCAAAGACTCGTTGCTCTGTTTTTCAGATTTTAATTTATTGCTTTTGAAGCTGAGGGGAAGGAAAGAGGAAAAAAGACAAAGAAAGGCCTCAAGGCAAGTGAGAGGCCCAAAACGCCTGCATCCCAGCCAGGACCCCAGCATCCTGGGCTTCATCCCACTCTGTTTATCATTACTCTGTAGCCAGTCCCAATCTAGGACCTATTGTTAGGGATGGAAGAAGCACACACTGTGCCAAAGAAAATGTTCTATGTTTTTCTGAGTGCCTGAACATAAGTCAGCAGGATGCTGGGAACTGCCACACTAGACAAAATCATTAGTTACCATGCCAACTGCTTTCTAGCAGCTGGTGCTCACTAAAGATTTGTACTGAAAACTTCCTAGGCTTGTCATACCATGTGAATGCCCTTTGGGAAAGAAACTGCTGCCCAAGATTGTCTTGCATTCTATGGCAAGGTGAGAGCACTGATTTATAAATGCACTTGGGTTCCCTTATTGCCAGCAATGGCTCTTGTTCCTCCTTAGTTCCAGCCTTTGCAGGAAAGGATGCAAAGTATTTTCATTGTCAGCTTGTTTCCTTGTTTAGTAGGAAAATAATTATTTTCTCAGTTTGCTAGACCTCCAGACATACTGATTTCTGCTATGATGCTATCAGTTCTCACAAACTAAGAAGGGTTAAACTGAGGAATATTCTTCATGAATGATGAAGCTTCATTTACACAGTAATTTGAGCCTAGCTTGCACTGCCTTTCAATGAGATGTAGACACTTTTCAAGTATTTCCAAAGTGCCTTCTTTGTGAGTGATATATGGAGAGCATCAGAGTACTTCATGAATTGGTATTGTTGCCTGCCACACAGGAACTAGTATCAAGCAAGTGCCCAGCTGTGCCATTGGAAGAGGGCTTCAGTTGAAATATAAATGTAAGCCTGATGTGTCATTCTTTTAGTACAGACTTGCTGTTTGTCCTATAGATTTTGTAACTATGAGGTCCTCAGTGACTGGTGTTCTGGGGTCTGATCTTGTCTACAAGAATTGGAATTCCCTTCAAATTCTTTTGAAATGGAAACAGAAGACAGCTCTCTCCTTTCTTGTAAGAGCTGAGAATCACATCCCTTCTGTTTGGAGACTGGATGTCATAGAGACTTTTTTTCTGTCATCAATGAAAAAAATGCATTAAAATTTTATTAGTGTTTAGTATTTTAGTACACTGACATTAGTTTCTAGTATAGGTGTAAGTAGTTGATTGCATAAAGGTTGCTTACATCAGAAAAGAGCTAACAAATCGGAAAAGGGAACTAGAATAGAAAGGTAGTTTAGAACCAGAAAACCTGGAGATGAATGTATCGTATTCCAGCCCTTTTGGACTGGATCCCAATCATAATCACGTTGTGATTTGTTGAAAATAGTCTCACAATCAAACCTGTATCTTTTGTGGTACAAAAAACTGCAGCAGAGAGGTTTTATGCTGTCAGTGATTTGGAAGAGAGAATTCTGGCCTAGCCTTTATGAAAACTACAGTTGAAAGAAAGGAATACAGTGGGTTTCTTGCCAAGAGCACTGAGTAGCCTGAAGAGCTGCTGGAAGGACAGAATCTTGCTTACAAAGGATGGGCCATAATTCCAAAGGCTGAGATTTCCTGTGCATAGCGAAGGCCTGAATCCTGGCCAGGTCTCTAAACTAAGCAACTCATAAATAATTCTGAGCAAGCTGTGAGAAGATTGCTCACAACCAGCCTGGCTGACAAAATGAAACCAAATCTTTTCTGGTGGCACAGGCAGGAATTTCTATTTCCAAATTGCATGTGTGTGCATCCGTGCCTAAATCTGTTGTCTGTACATGTGAAGTAATGACTATTCAATCATTAGCGTTCAAACAATAATCCTGAATTGAAAACAAGCAGGTCTGTGAGTACTGACTCTACAATCTTCATTTCCTTTAGGGGTGTGGAGGTTTTTTTCTGGTTATTTTTGGCTTTCCCTAAAACAGTGTAAGTTTTGAGAAAGCTTTTAATTCAGTTTGGGGTATTTATACAATCTCCCTAACAAGTGAACTCTTTAATATCCATTAAGGTGTGAGGTCCTCTACAGTTGTTTTGCAGCCTTCATTATGGTGCTGAACCTGTTGTAATTTCCTTAGGCAGAACTAATTTCTACTTCAGGGTGCAAAAGAGTTGTCATGCTTTAGTAAATCATCTAACAGGCAGAGACTGAAAATAGGAGATGCTCTGTGGTGCATTCCCGTGAGTTTGGCAAATGGACTGAGAGCTGGAGCATGTCTCTGGCAACACTGTTTTGAGTCTCAGATCCTAAGCCTGTTCCGTACCAGGGCAACATCACCTTAGTTGTAATATCAGCACTTGATAACTTGTGATGTGGGGACTTTACAAAACTGCAGGTGAAAGATCTCAATAAGAAAGTGGCCCCAAGACTGGCAAATGCACTGGCTTTCTGTTGTCAAGTATTGTATGTTTATATTATAGAAGGTTGAAGTTGTCTTTTGCAACATAATGCATAAATGCAGAATAATGCATTTACTTTGATTTCTGTCTGTAAATAAGGAAAACCCATTGAAGCCAACAGAGGCATATTCAATCCAGAATGATTCTGCTGGCCATGAGGGTAAAGTCTGCTTAGGCAAGCAACAATGTTGTCAGTATAGTCAATATAGAAAAAAGTGTTGTTTTGCTGTCATGTGGAGAGAAGGTATTGGAACTGCAGGGTGTTTTGTATAAGACTGTGCCACAAGAAAATCTTTTTAAATTTAGTTCTTCCTAAAGGTTTAATAATGTAGTTTCAACAGTGCTTTCCAGAGTAAATTAAGCCAAGTTTACCTGGGCAATATTATGTCCAGTATATTGGTTGAAACTGAAAAAGTGAATTAAAGCAAGTTAGAAGTGAGAGAATCTGAGAGTTCACTGAATTGGACAAAGGTTGGAGAAAGGCAGCAATCTTGGTGCATTTTTAAAAAGTCAGACTTAAGTATTTTTAATTTCATAACAGTAAATCATTTGCTAGATATCTCAAAACAAAAGAAATGAGAATCAGGGAAATGTTACTAAAATGTTGTCATTTAGATAGTGGCCCACACAGTACTGCAGACTGCAGTCGTTGCATGTTATCTCTGTGGCACAAAATCTGGCTATTGGCAGGTCCAGTTTTAGTGGAGTTTTCATTTATATCAGGTTTTTTCCCTCCATTTTCTCTTGACTTTTACATTTTAGAAATAATCACTCAATCCTGAGCTTTTAAGCATTCTTTTGAATCAAAGGATGAATTTTACGTATTGCAGGTTCTGAGCTGGAGGTGGATATGGGAGGAGTTGGAACAGATGTTAGTTTCTAGAATTAATAGAACTTGAATGAATAGCTTAAAGAGTGCTTGAGTGAATTTTCTTATTTCTGAATGTTTTAAGGGTTTGCAATGACAAAACTATCGGGGGAAGAAGCAACACACTCAAGGCAAACTGTGTTATGTTTAAAGAATCTAGGTTGTAAATTTTGATAGGTTCCTGAAGCAAAGAGATTGCAGTTAACTCTCTTGCCAAAACCATGACCTACACTCTAAATTGTGGCATGAAAGACACCAATTATCTTTTACATCCCAGTTACGTGTGATGTAGATAGGAAATATAAGGGAAGTCTGCCCTGGGAATCCAAAGGAAATATTTGGAAGGAGTGGCTGAGAGAAACATGTCAGAGATAACAGACAATTGTGAAGCTCAGGCATTGAGGCTTGAATGTTATATTAGCCAGTGTCAGGATTCAGTGGGTCATACAACATCTGTCTTGTGAACACAGAATGTGTGAATTGCTCTTCAGGACACCTCGTGGTCCTGTCAGTCTGCCACCTGCTCTCTGCAAAGCCTCTCAGCCTTGTGTAGAAGTGTGGGGCTGCTGCCTTCTCGCCAAGGCTTGGAAACTTCAAAGCAAGCTAGTGAGCTTCTCTTGGTACTTATCATGTTGCAGGCCACAGCTGAACTCCTACCATGTAAGCCTGGGCTGTAAGAGCTTCCTGTCTCTTTGCAGGAGGCCTTTTGTCCTCTGAGAAAAACTTGCATTTCTCTGAGGATGAAAGAAATGAGCCTATCTCACTCCCCCCAGGCCTTTTGGATTGTAGCTGCATGGAGTCAGTATGTATCCTAGTTCCAACCTCACCCAACCAGTCCTTCATCCTCTCTGAATGTTGTACTGCATGTCTGTTTCTATTCCATTGTCACTGCAGCATGCACGTGCTTAGTGTAAGCTTTGTGTTACTGTATTAAAGCCTCTACAAATCCAAATAAATAATTATCTCACTAGTGATGGGGGAATCAGCTTTTTTCCTGCTGCTATTCTGCCTGTTTTCAATGCTAATCAGCCTCAGAAATGTTCCAATTTAGAGTTTTTATTCTCCTTTCCTTTTTTGTCCTCTAGAGAATGTCTAGTAATATAGTCCAGCCTATATTCATGGAAGTGCTTAGCAGGAAGCAGTTGGCACATGGCACCTTTAGCAGGTGTTGTACTTGCTAAAGCCACTTAATAAAAATTCATAGCTGGCTAAATATGAAGAAATTTTTTGGAAGCAGCCGTGCCTTATAGGCAGGAGTCCTTATATGCAGAGTGAAAAACATGGTGGCTCTTCTTTCCTCAGGGCTCCAGAGAATCATCATTTTGGCTTGGAAGGAGAGATGGAGACCAGTGTCTACAAGACGACACGGGGTCCTCTGGCACATCCCAGCTATCAGCTTCAGTTTGCTGTGCAACAACTTCAGCAGCAGAAACTTCAGTCAAGACAGCTGTTGGAGCAAAACCAAGCACGACAACAGGTAACTAAAAAAAATCCTGCCTGGGATGTAGCAGTGCTGTCTGAGTCTTAGATGTGCAGAACAAACCTGGAGACGGTACATATGGCAGAGATTTTGTGAAGGAAGTAGCTCTTAAAGTGCATTGCAAGAAAACCAATGTTACTCGCAGTAATTTTGATAGCATTTTGATACTGTAGTTTCCAATAGCTTCTTCCATTATGTTGACATCTTAAGAGCTGGAGGAAATATGAAAAAGGGCTTGTATTATTGCTGTTCTGGATGACTCGTAGATGCCAAAGGTAAACCATGGTGTATGGAACGGCATTTCAATTCCGTCGGGAGAATCTTTCAACACTACAATGATTTAATTGATACACTTGTGACTTTACTTTATTATTAGAGAGAGGGAAAGAGATAGAGACATATTCTGGGTGATGTCCTAAAGGCTTCCCTGATAAAAGGAGAAGGAAACCTTTGGGTGAACAAACCTACATTCAAAACAGCTTTGTCTTCAATAGCAAGGAGCTGTTTGTTAGCAGTCTGGCATGACTGGACTCCCATGAACAGACCTAATATGTGGAGGTCTGAACATCCACTCTCCCCACTGTGAAGCAGATGATTCATTTGTCAGGGTCCTTGAGAATAGGTTATAGGCACATTGCCCTCATCCTTTTCTGGGAACATCTTGAGAGGCCCTCTGTTTTTTGCTTCTTGCTCTCCTTCTTTCAAGGCCCTTACTTTGCCATGTAGTTTCCATCCTCAGCTTCTCTCACCTACAGTCTTCTTGCTCCCACTCAGTGCAGGAGGTCTTCCTTTCATCTCTGTCCACTGGGCTCTGGGTGGGCAGATGTGGCTGCTCATGAGCTCAGGAAAGTGCCATAAACTGGCTTGTGCCTGTGAGGAGGCTGGAGCTGGCCATGGGGCCTGGCTGAGCCTTCTTAACTGCTGACATTGAGCTGATGTTATTCTTGGCCTAGGGCAGAGCCATTACTCAGGAGTTTCTGTTAAAATGATTCTTTGTTAAACCTCCTCTCACCCCCACATTGCCCCCCCTCCTTTCTCTCCTTCCATTCTTGTGAGCCAAGCATTTTGGAGTTGCTGTATTGAGGCTATTGCCATGCTGCAGGACTCAGGCTGCACTGAGTTTGACATTAATGAAGAAAAATACTTGCTGAACGTGGGGACCTTCAGACTTTCTGTCATGAATAAAATATGATCCTAATAAAATGATTGTCTCTTGGACACTTCCTGTCCAAGACACTGTATGGAGCCAGCTATCCCTCTTCTTCCAATCAAAGTTGCATCAATCCTCTGATGCCTACCCTGCCAGTCATGGCACTACCTTTGTCTTCCCCTACACCCTCTCTAGCTTTCTGTCACTGACCTCTTCCTTCTGCTAGTTAGCTTCTCAGACTTCTGTCCTTTAACTTGGCCTTTCTAAGAACTGCCTTCCCTTGTCTGCTGCTTATGCATTCACTGACCTACATCTTGAGATGTAGGTCACATTGCTCTCACATTGCTTTGACTTCTGCACCACCCTTTCATGTTGACCCTCATTTGTCCTTCCTTTTTAGCTAGAGTTCATGTAGCTTATCCTAGCCTGCATGGCTTTACCACATTTCCTTGTCAGTGTCACCTATGCTACCTATCTCCCATTGCCTGCTGTTTTCTTTCTTTTCCTTCCTATGTGTTGAGATCTACTCCATCCTTTGTTGTCTTGCCTGCTACATTCAAAGTGTCAGTCTCCCCTCAGCAGAAGAAATATATTCCCCAAGACTGAAGGCCTGTCTCTTGAAAGAGTGTCATCTCTCTCTTTTGGGGAATGCATGCAGAATATCTCTGAGACTTTCATCTGATTGTTCAAATTCTTGTTATGGTTAGAAGGCAGACTAGCCATTTGTCAGTAGCTGAAGTACATCTATTAATTAATTAATATATCTTGACGTACACCCTGGGTGTGGTGTAACCACGCAATTTAACTAGATGCCAGTCTTTTCTTCTATCTCTAGCAAAGGGGCTAGTTACATGTATGACTATATATATGTGATCAAATAACAGCAGCACTGTGATTAATAGCACAGCAAATGCTTCTCCCGTACATTAACCAGTTCAGTATGTTAGAAATGAGATGAATGCACTGGAAATCATGGGTTTTTCTAGTCAAGTATTTGTGTCATAAGAATCCCTCTATCTACCATGCAGTAGATCTATCCTACCACGTGTGTTAACATGAAGGCTTGTTGTGTGCTTTGTTGCAGCACCCACTCTTGGCTGAGCACTTTCCAGACATGTAAGAATGATGATGATTTCTCCAGGCATTTAACAATCTGCAGAATATCAAATACTGTGTGGGCGGAGGAAGAGAAATAATAATGAACAGTTTTCACTCACTGTATGCAGAAGCTAGTTCACACAGTGTAGTACTATAGAAATAGACCTTTGATAGAATAGGTATTTGATTACTTGGACAAAAAGAAAAACACCAAACTGATTAGATGAGAATCTTAACAAACAAATAGGTGGAGTCATATGGACAAGGAACAGACACAGTACAGACCTTGAGAAACGTGAGCAAAAATAGAAAGGGGAAGAGTTTGAAAGTAGAGACAAGAAGCTTAAATCTGATACCAGTAAAATCAAGGAACAAGAATTACAAAATCAAACCAAAATGCAAGAAAAACAGGCTTATAACAGTATTTTTAATGTTTAAAGGAGACTTCATGTGACACTTTATGACCTAGATGTTATTATCACTGCTGCAGTTGGCAAGACAGTTAATATGCCATCATTGTTTATTCTCTAATTGTTTCCTGTACTGGAAAGATGCCATCAGCTGTTAGGGAGGTTCCTTCTTTGTGTGGCTATGTTCTGTCTGCTTAGCCTAGCATCTACTGGGGTTAAAATTTCATGCCAAACATTTCACATGGGAAAAAAAGCTAAATTAAAACAAGGGAAGTACAATTGTATGGTGGAATGATCCCTGTCAGTACTGCTTATATCAAAAAGGCTCATGTTAAATAAGACATGAATCATGTTAATGAGTTGTGTGGGCAGTTATGTGATCACATTTTCAATTACAAATTTAAGAACATTTTATGCTGTAGAAGATTAGGCTAAATTAATCTTAAATAATTCTCCTCTCAGTCATTTAAAAATTGTATGTCCTCTGAAATATTCCTCATTTTATGAAGTTCAGCAAATTTTTGTCTTAATATTTGTGCATCTCTTCTGACATACTTACCATTTATTTAGATTTGACTGGAAATGCTGAGTGCTGTGAATAATAGTCCTAGTATTCCTAGGACTATATTATTGTTGCCTGTGGTTACAGGGCATCTTTGAATGCAGCCTCGAACATCATTAAACTTTTTTCTAAACTGTTATATATGGAACTACTGTCAGATTTGCAGTGTCTCTTTTCCTTCAGTTTCTCGTTCATTCTTGTTTTCAGCTTTCTTCCTCAGATTGTTTTCCCACTAAATGTGCTAATTGCCATTTTTCCTATTTGAGTCTTGTGATACTGATGAGTCAAAGTCTCAGTGTAAGTAAAACAGAACAACCATTCTGAAAGCAGTAGTCTGAGCTGATTTATACCAGCTGAAACTTTGTCCCTGTGTTTCTGATCCTGTCACTATTATTAGAATTATGGTAACGCCCAGATGTATTAACTATCTTTCCAGTGCAATAATACAGCCCAATCCTTGCCCTAGAGAGCTAGCAGTAGCAAGAGAAATAAAACAGAGGGCACCAAGTCAACTGAATATAGTATATTTTTTTCTTGCTCTGAAGAATTTACCAAAGAGGACATGGTTCAGGACAGTCTGTGCATACCATGAGCTTGTTCTTCTTTAAGACCCCAAGATACTCTCAGTGCAGTTTAACACTGTGGTAGTTAATAGTACATTTTGAACCTGCCCTTTATTGCCGCTTTTTGAATTTTCAGTTCAACTGATCGCTGTATCCAAATTGATTTAACTGAATGCATTAGTATGTGTTAAAAAGAATTTCCACTAAACAATTTATGACTGGAAAGGTCTTTCAAGCCTTTTGATTCTTTATATTTTTGCAATGTTTTCTGAAATACAATTTTTCTCTAAAAGTGGTGACTTGTGTTTTGTTGGGTTTGCTTTTCTTTTTTTTTTTAATTTAAAACCTCATTATTGTTTATTGCTTATAAACATCTCAGTTTGCACTCCTAGGGACTGGGAACTAGCTACATGGATCTTTATGCAATACATATGTGCGTGCATCTGTCAGTTCTTGTACACTGCTGAGTATCTCATCTTTTTCAGATTTGCTGATCCAATTGAATGTGAATGTGGGATAGAAATCTCACAGCTATGTTTCATACAAATTTCATTAAAATCAAGAGCCATTTATCTGGGAAGGGGGTTCAACTACTGTTCCCATTAAGGCAGAGGCTGAGACCACTCCTAATTAGACAGCACAAAATCAACACAAGAGTGTCCAGACCCATGAAGGGAAGCATAATTTGGGATATGCTTTATATTAGATAGTGTAAGACAGATTCACAGGAAATGAGCTTTATTACCTCCTCTGGTCACACAATGAACATGTCTTTGCTTGCAATGTTTGTTCCATTACTGTGCTAGGGATGGGTGTTACATACAGGGATGGGTAAGTGCCAGAAACATTCTTTCTGTTTTTGAAGATCATTAATATATCTAGCTTTTCTTCAAAGTACTACAATACCTCTCTGCTTTTAATCACTAACAGCCTAAACATAGCTGCTACTGACTAATACTCAAAGATGTTCATTGTCCTTATTGACAAGATGTACACATTGAGATTTTCTAATTAAAAATTTTCTTTTTATTTGTACAGGTAATACTTTGTGTATGGTGTTGTTAAAGATGTTGAAGCAAGGAGATATTGCTTCAGTCTGTGATGCAGGGAAAAATACTTTATCAGTGCTAGTTTTCTTCATAGACAAGACAGGGTTAATGCCGTTAATGGAAATTTTAGCTAAAACATCTTACAGCTTTTTTAGTATTTTTCAGATTTGTAGCCCTAGAGACTTGTTAAGGTAGCAAATGTCTCAATATCAAGTTAAATCTGCCAACCTGGGAACTGTAATTGAAAGTTTTTCACTTGAAGCAGCAGTAGTTGTAGGGTGCTACCTGCTTCAGAGCTGCATCTATCAGGGTTTGTCTAGGCTTCTGCTCTCCCTAGACCCTTAATCTTAAGAATCCTGAGTGATAAGGTCTGTCTCCTATGTTTTGGATGTGCTTAGAGCTTCCCAACTCTTCCTTTGTGTGGTGAGGCTCTGTTCTCCTCAGCTGTCCTCTTTATTTGCACAGAAGCTTCTCCTGGTTTCCTGTTCTGTCCCTGTGGAGTTTGCAGAAGGGCAGTGTAGCTGAATCCAGAAGCTGTGGTCCTTGTCAGCTTCCAGTCTCCCCATCCTTGCATGGAAGACAGCCAGAATCTCAGCACACTGTGGAGACAAAGGCATTTTCAGAAGTCTGTAGCCCCCAAGAAAAACATCCATGACCTTTCTTTAGGCAGGTTTCAAAACAGTTTTTGCTGATCAGACTTTGTTAGAGCATCCATGCTTGCTATTTCTTTAGAGTCACAGACCTCCTTATCAAGGCATATTAACACAGGGAAAGGGTTATGACCGTATGCATTGTGAACTCCAGGATCTTAGGTATTACGTAACAAGAAAAAGAACTTACACAAAGAATGCATAATATTAAAAGAATTTATAGCAAAGATGGATAATATAATTTCACAGTGAAATGTCATTACTGAATAAGAAGTGGGTGCAGTGACTTGAGGGTCTCTATCCCAACCCTATGATGTGTCAGGCTCTGAGATGCAAGAGACTAAACCAAGTTACATTTTAGTTTGTTTTTCTGGGGAGAGGTGGGGTGTGGCTGCTATTTTCCAGATTTCTGCACTTGTACTAGCTTCGTTGTTGAGAATCTGGAAGCTGCAATCAAGGTAGAGCTTGAGGGAAGGGAGAGGTTAAGAAGGATTGGGAGCTCAAGGGTGTCTTGTCAGTGAGTTCTAGTTAGGAAACAGGCCTGTTTTGGCTCCTGCACTTCCTTCTCTCCCTAGAATTCTGCCTGTCAGAAACGCCTTCCCACACACCACTGTTCTGCCATTTGCCAGAGAACTGCGGGGGAGAGGGGCTTTTCCTGTCTGTGTGCTGAGACTCAGCCAGCTCTCAGACTGTGGTTTTCTCTGGAGCCTGGAGCCCATTTGCTGTGGCTTTGTGTATTTTCCACATGAGGAGAAACTGAGGACAAACTCAGTGAAGGACGCTGCTCCCAGGGTCACAGTGAGGGCTCAGCTCTTCCCCTTATCTCCTATCACTGACCTCTAGATGCCAAATTATAAGGTTAAAGTATTGCCTATGTGCTGGGAATCTGACTGACTTCGAGGAAAGACAAAGCAGAACTCCCAGCAGGTTGCTTCTTTCTGAAGAGTTTAGCAGTCTGCAGAGCTCCCATAGAGGAATATTCCCCAGTCCCTGCTTTGCCAGGCCATTGCTCAGTTCTCCAGTGTCTCATAACATGCAGATCCTTTTGTTCCCTGTGTCATATTTCCAACATGCTTACTCTACCACATGCTATAGGAATGGAAATTTTTTCTGTTCCCTGATATTACTGGGGATTTCCTTTTTGTCGGTGGTGGATCTAAGTTCCTTTTTCAGAAGAAAGTGCCCTTGAGCTTTTCTGCTATTCCAAGTTCAATAACCAAATAAGTAGCATTGTATCATCTTCCCCATAACCTTTCTCTTTCCTAGAACTGTGTCTCAATCCTACCTCCCACATAAAGAATAATTTAGCAAAATAATGCAGAAAGTCAATGTAATGAATTCTTTACTTCTTTCTGGATGGAAGCCCACTGCAGGATTAGAATGAGGATTGGCTTCTTGTTTTTAAACTCCAGAATAGTAGAGTTCTGTGGCAGTAGTGAGGTTGTCTACCTTCCTAGAAGCTAGTCCTGGCTTCCAAGGGCATAAAATTCACTGACTTAACAACTTAACTTTTTATGTGTGGGACTTTCCCTGGAGCCCTGGGATGCCTTCACCAGGCAAATACTATCCCTCACAAAAATGTCACCCACCTCCATCAGCATTCTCAGCAATGTTCACAGAGGTAATCACCAATTACGATGGGATTTTCTTCTTTTTTTACCCAGGCTGTTTTTGCCAACTACTCACAATCGAGCACCAGTCATATATCTATGCCAGCTGGCTCTGATGCCCACAAGACGTCAAGTGCCACTTCTAGTATCCAGAAGGCATCCAGTTTGCACAAAGTAATGCCATCCCAGAGTACAGCTCCTCAGCTGGTTCCAAAGCCTCCAACAAACCACAGACAGGCAGTGATCAGAAAGGCTGCAGCCCAGAGGATTTCCAAGTAAGTTTTCTCTCTTCCATCCACAATAGGGAGTTGGCATTGCCTCCCCTGAAAATGAATATTGGAGAGGAAACTGTCTACATCTGACTGACAGATCCTTCTGGCTGTGCTGTCCAGGATAAATCTCAGAATAACCTGAGCTGTGCATACTGAAATAAGCATTGCACTGTGTTGCAATTGTGTTACACAAGGGTGTGGAAGGTTACTGTAACATCATACAAAGGTAAGGACATAGGAACTGTCAGACTGATCCCAGAGTGGGATTCAGTAAGGTAAATACGAGTTGCTAGTGGCATTTGGATGCCCAGGGCTATTCCACCTGACTTCCAGCTGCTCTTCCAGATGAGTACAGGTCTTCTGTAGATCTTGTGTTGCATCTGTGAGTCCCATGCAGATGTCTTAACTTAAGAGCACCAATTACATCTATGTTGAGGCACTTAAGTCACTCCCTCTGTGTAATCTTTGATGGGGGCTTGAATCTGGTAGGTAAGAAAAGGGTGCCAAAAAAAAAAAGCCAAAACAAAGCAACAAAGCAATTCAATACCTTTAACAAGATAATCTGCCCCTGAGCCAAGTTTTCCCATAAATTTAACACACCACGTTGTATTTAGGACTTCAAGCACAAGTGTTTATTTCATTTGAAATGTTTATATTATGCCTGATGTAATGATAGTTTTCTCATTAACTGTAGAAATCCTTCTTTTAACTTCTAGTAAGCTTTTAGTTAAATGATGCTTGCTATTTTAAGGTAAGTGGATGGATTTGACGGTTATCTTTAAAAACAAATGCTATCTTTAAAAACAAACAAAAATATTCATCATTAAATTTTGCTTACTGATTGTAAGTTTCCTTCTTTACCATTTCTTGGTATGTCTTCTCTTTTGTGCATTAGGAGAAAATGTGAGCAAGACTTCTGGGTTTTCAGCTTCCTCAACTCTCTGTTTATCTGCTCTTAAATGGCAGAACTGTTTTAGTCTAAATCTTTCATCAGGTTTTTCCTCATATATCCTCAGACTTGTTTCATCCTGAAAAATTGATTTCATAACTTCCTTCCTTGTACTTATTCTACAGTCAGAAGAGCTGTAAAGCTTTCAGAGCAAGCTCCTGTGAGGTTTCCTGGTTCTGTTTTCACTTCCTGTTTAAAGAGAGAAGTTTTAGTTTTAGATTACTGATGAAAGACACCTTATGAAGATGCAGTCACTGTGTGTGAATCAAATCTGGAATTGCAAGGCATATTTAGGGAACTTGGACAGAACTCCTTTGGGGAAGTTTGTGTGTTTGCTGCCTGTACCCTTGCTATCTTAAGAGATAGCACTTAGAATTAATCCCCTGAAACTATTTAAAAAGAAAACAAGATGTTAGTAAATTTTGTCAGCTCAGCAAATGCAGATGTGAGCATCAGGTCTGGCAGGTATGCTCTGGTAGCTTTGCTATCTGACTTCTTTCATGTTGGGTGACTCTTGTTAGTACAGGTGACAGGCTGTGTCAGTGGGTTTCTCTGCTGGGCAGCAGGGATGTGTACTTGAAGATGCCGGTGTGCTGTGCTCACTTCTTGGCAAAGAAAATGTTTATCCTTGTGAGATGGAATTGCAGCTCCTTGGACAGACTTTACTTCGCTGCATTTTTGTGGTTTCTGCTCTGTGACAGGCAGGAGTGTGGGAAAACCGGAAAAAGTTCAGCACCAAAAATGCACAGAAGGGGGAAAAAAAGCAAAAGATTCCTTCAGGATTTCAGAAAACTAATCCAAGTATTGAAGGCTGCAAGGAACCGCTCCGGAAATATTTTCCAAGTTGCCTTTCAGTCTCCAGCACAAGGCTCCAAACCCATTCTTGCCATTCATGGGATCTTGCAGTAACATTTTTTCACTTACATGGAAAACAACAGTGCCTAGCTTTATTTCCAGCAATCTGAGAGCTGATCGTTTAAAAACTGCTGTGTCTCAGGCTAATTTAATCCATTCATTGTTGACAGGAAAAGACCAGATACACATCTACAGAGGGGAGTGAATGTGTCAAAGGAATATAGAGGGAAAAGATGTCTTGCATGCTCCAGCCTGTTTTGTGCAGTTCCTGATAATTTGTACAGAGTATTCTCAGATACATTGTGTAGTCTGCTTTCAAAAAAGTCCAGTGGTAGAAACTCTACTGTGTGCTCTAGGAATCTATTTAAGAATCTAGACAACCTTTTAATCAGCTAGTTTCTCCTTATGTGCTATCTGAATTTTCCTTTGTTTCAGCCTGTTGTACCTTGTTTCTCCTTCCTGAACCCTAAACACTTTCTCATGTAAATACTTTCCATCTTTTGAATATCCTTTTACTTCTTGGAGTAATCTAATTTTGCTTAGACTTGTTGAGGTTTTGTTAACCTCAGATAGTAGTTCTACCTGCCAAGTCCTTAATTATCTTGAATTTACGGTATTTTCTTCAGTTTGGCAGAGTGCTTGGAGTGTGGCACCCAAAATTGTGCTTTTCCAGTGATACTACCATGCCGATAGGTTATGACATGGCAAATATCCCTCTCCATAACATCTTTTTGGCTGCTTCATTTGCCTGTCAGGTCACTTTTGGTTTGCTGTCTTCTCTCTTTTGCTAATACTTCTCAGCTGTTTTTCTGATCTCTTTCCTCAAAGAGGATCTCAAGGCTATGTATTATTTCTACAAGACTCATTGAAACTAATCCCATTCTGTTGTTAAAGCTCTCATGTATCTTTCTCCCCCCATATATTTCAGTAAGCCAGACATTATTTCTGTTTGCTCTTGCACTGCCTGGCTTTTGTTTCACATCTTGATAAAGATCATCTCTTTAAAGTTGTTTCTAGAATTTCTCCAGAGACAGGACTATGATGACAAAACTAAAATCAGCTTTGTCTCTTTGACTTATCTCCTCCTTGCATCCGTTATCAATTCTCTCCCAGCCAGCACACATGGCTTCCAGAAAAGGAAGAAACAGGAAGTAGAAAACTCAACTACAAACAGAACAAGATGCTAAAGATGAACATTACTGACTAATTGAAAAACTGTCTAGTAACTTGGACGCTTTCCTGGTTGAAGTATAAAGGGAAAGAGTAATGGAACAGTTAGACGATTCAGGCTCATCTTTTCAGTTCCTGGCTTCTCTTGTTTTTGTGAAAGGTGGTAGGTTGACTTTGTAATGGATTGTGTCCAAAGCAGGCTCCTTGCTTAAACTAACAGAGTGGAAAGCTGGGGCCCATATTAAAGTGGGGAAAAAGACTGAGAGAAATGGTTTAGTATGCAGCTCAGTGCTGAAATATGGTGCCATAAAATGGTCTCATGGGGCTCCATAGTTTTGATTAAATGTGCTCATATCACTAATAGATAGTTTTAGAACAGCTAACACAACAAGCTCTTTTTTTCTTCCCCAGAGTCAGACTGGGTCTTTCCCACTGCTCATGTTGCCACTACTATTGACAGGTCTGTGATCCATGAAGAGACCTGCTGATATTTTGAGATAGAGATCACAGATACAGTATTTATAAGTGGTGGAATGAAGCAGATGTTCCCTGGAAGCAGTATTTGGTGTATGGAATCTTCATATTACAGATGACAGCATGCAAAGTAAAAAAATACATTAGCTCAACTGTTCACCAGAGTGTACTGGTGGTACATGAAAAATCTTTCAGCTTTTAGGAATGACTAAGTCGTAATAAATACACATTTCTGTGCTATCATTTACATAGTAACTTTTCAAAACCTCTCAGTGACAGTGTCAAGAAGAATAAGGCTTTAAACAACCTGTGAACAGAACCATCAGTCAAAGAAAACATCTCAGAAAAATTGATCTGTCAATTAGACCACTGTATATAAGGAGAAGAAATGCTAGGTAGGGAACAGGAATATACTGTTCAAGATATCAGGGAGAGACCAAGAAGATCACCAAGTTTACCAGCAGTAGACTGGAACATTACAAACTCTTGGGGATATTGATCAGCATGGCATAATTTCTTGTGCTTAACATCTCTGTAAATGTCATAACAACTCTATTCAGGAAGCCTTTTGAATTAAATATTCCTTTCAAGTCCCACCACCACAGCACTTTCTTTCTTTCTACCATGTTCTCTTTTGTTTTACATGGTGCTAACAATAGAAGAATCAAAGTTAATTCTCTATTGTGACTAGTACAGAAATAGGGTAGAGGGTTCAAGGTTCAGGAAATTTATCCCAGAGTGGGGAGGAGTCCTGACTGCAATTGGACACAGAAGTAGCCAGCTTTTCTAGGATACACTGGCCAAGCCTAGCAAATGTGCCAAAAGCAGATGATAATAACAGAGTGAGCCCTGTAAAACACTGTGGCTCTGTTTTGTATCCTGTCTTGCCCATACATGAGGTGTCTTTAGTGAGCCAGGTACATCACACACATAAACTGAGTGCCCACTGAAAAGAGGACAGGCAGTAGGACACACATCTAACAGTTACTGGAACCCCTTTGACTGTTTTGCTACTGCTGTACTGCAGCATGCTTGTTTTTTCAGCTCCCGAATGTCTGGGTTAACCAGGCTGCCTGACCCTTAGACACTTTTGGCAGTAAAAGCAGTGCATCTGAGAGACATGCCTTGATTTAACACCCTGACACAGCTGGGCTCACTAGACCTGTAGCTCGTAGCCCTTGGCTAGCCTCGGATCATACACACGTTACGCATGCAGGGGTACCCCATCCAAGAACAACAGAGGAGTAAACTACTCTGGGTCTTTACATCTGTTTCTGTCCTCTTGTCAAGCCTGGGCTTTTTGTGATGTGAATATGTTAGTGTCAGATCTGTCTGGTTCCACTGGACCTTTAGATGCATCTGTAGCATCCCAGAAATAGGTTGTTAAAACAAAGGTGTTCAAAATTCAGTCAAAAAAGTACTTCTCTTTCACCTGTGGAGCAGAATTTGCAGTCCAAGGCTGGGCAGCTTAGTGCTAGTCTAGTACCTAAATTAAGAAAGTCAGTATCAGCTTTGAGGAGGAGTTAGCTGTATAGGGGATAGAAAAGAGCAATGACAGATATTTAAATGGAGGGGACAAATGGGACTCTTTTTATTAGTATTGAAGAATAAATAGAGAACATAACAATGGATTGCACTGGAGAAGGGGAAGCAAAAACAACGCAGACATTAAAAGTAGGAAACTGAGAAAAGGCAGTAGGATTTCAGCCAACCCAAGGAGGAAGAAAGTGGAAAGGGATGACATCAGTTTAAACAGTGAATATGTTCTGGCACTGAAGCTTTCACCAGGACAGCACAGAGAGTATGAGGAAGTAAGCTTAGAATGGTGGGAGATCCCAGGAGCAGACCTTAGAATGAGCTCTCAGAATGAGGTGACTGTTGAAACTGCAAGAATCAAGGTACCTAGCACTGTGGGTAGACAAGAGAAGGGCAAGTCTGTAGAGATATTCTCTGAACAATAAGGTAGAAGAGTGACAGTTCCCTGTTTAGCTTTTTTATTGTTGTACTTGCTGGCATTCTTGATTACTTTTTCAATTACTAGTCTTGCATTCTGCTTACAGAAGGGTGAGCTGAATTTGGCTGTCAGTTGTGCTGTGTTAAAGTGGACAAGCTAATTATGAGCATGGAACTTCTATGTAAAAAGCATCAAGATCCATCTGGATTCTCAGCTCCCAAAAGGACCATGCAATATCAGCACAAAAAACCCCTTAAGTACAAATCTATAATTCTCTCCAAGAGACAGTAAACACAGAAACAGGCACCTCATTTGACAATAGCATTTCCAGTTAAGGCTGACTGAAGTAAGGGGTTGTGGTATGCAAATGTATTTGCATCCCTCTCCCTTCATGTGTGGACTCCATTTCACTGAAATCCAGCTGAAATAAAATTCAGGAGTCCCTCACAGACCTTTTAGCTGTCAGAAACACCTGGGTTACTGACGACCTGCTGACCTTGAAACATGTAAGCAAAAGGTTTCAGATAAAACCATAGAAACTGCACGTGTTTAAACAACGATTTAGACAGTGAATAACAGTCCGTTAGTTTTCAGGGCATCCCATGGGGATTGGAGATTCTGATGCTCTTCAGGAGAAGAGCTGACAGCAACTGTAACACCCCAGAGGTGAAAGAGTGAAGAACAACTCTGGCAGACATGAGTGCACATACCAAAGTCTGTAGTGATTGGAAATGAGTTGGGCCAGAAGGAAGAAAAGCAAGAAAGAGTAAGGGAGGAGGGGACACACCAGGAATAGATGGATAATTGCATAGATTTTTAAGGACAGGATAGACACTTGCAGCTGTATAGCTTGCCCTTCTCTTGTGAGTAGACCCAATTTTTCTGTAGGAGAACATGGTCTCAGTTTGGTAATGAATCTTTGTGAGTTAAATAGTTTTGCTGTAAGTCAAGTGCTGAGATCAATGCAGAGGGATTTGCATAAGGTATCTGCTTGAGGAATGGCACTGGATTACTGAAAATTAGATGCATCCTGTGTGTCTCAGTTTGCAAGATAAGTGAGAAATCTTGGCAAAATGAGCTCTCTCTGCTGCAGCAAGATGCAAAGATTAACTCTTGAATTATGAGCTCTCTCTGCTGCAGCAAGATGCAAAGATTAACTCTTGAATTTAGCATGTTTTGACAGCATGTGCATTTCTGTGCAACAGTTGCTTAGTCACTTTAATTCAAATCATTTGAGTAAGATGACCACATCATTACTAGTTGTGATGTATGTTGGTGGTCCGATACAATTTACTATCTTCTTTATTCTCCAGAATCAGCTTCCAAGGTGCATGAGAAAATTAAGTGTTTTAGTCACACTGAAGTTTTCCTGGTGGTTTGACTGTTCATTTGTCCTGCTCTGCTTTTTTGGAGTCAGTTGCTGTCACTGCCTTTTTCATACCACGTTCAGGCACAGCTTCATGGTTACAGAGCCAGTAAGATTATGTAAACTAGGGGAATTCTCATTTTTCCGTTTGAGACTTTTATTCTTCCTTGCTCTATTACTTCTTATCTCTGTTTGATTTTATGGTTTTACCTCTTAGGGTCACCTCCACTGAAAAGCAACTGAATGGATTCCAGAACAGCCTTCAGAGTGCTGCATCCTGTGAGCCAGGAACATATTCCACAGGTGAGTGACAGTGCCAAAGACTATGAAAGTGGGGGTGGGCATGCTGGGATGCTTTCATCTTTTCAAGAACTGCCAGGGAAAAAACTATCAGCAAGAAGAAACACAGCTGCCTCTTCTACATGTAGTGGTTCCTAGGTAACAGTCTGGGTTCAGCTGTGCAGGGAATTTATACCCCCTGGGATTAAGAAGACTAAACAGAAGGGAGCAAAGGCTGAGTTTCATAGAGTTGGAAGACCCTTTAAAATATGGCTGGGGAGAAAAGAAACCACCTTGGCTCAAATGGTTCCTTTTTGCTTTAGACTTTGGCTCAAGATGCTCTCTTGTCCAAGCTTGGCTTGTAATAAAGGCCAGGACATTCTTTACATTTTTTTTTGGTCTTGCTGAAAAGCTCTTAGTGCAGAAAGACATAACTGAGACTTGTGAATCAGCTGCATAGTGAAGTCAATCAGTAGAGGTGAAAGTATCCGATGGAAAATCAGAGAGTTACAGAATCAAATCTTTGTCGTTCCCTAGTGGCTAATTAATTCAGACAGGTTTATCTGCTGTTAAGTTCTCAGCAAATGAGGACCCAATCAGTTTTTCATTTATGCAGGCCTATTGGCAGGTAGAGCATGGTCTTGTAAACCCATATTACCTGTGGCTCACAGTAATTTGTGGTAGTACTATAATGGAATATACGGACACATTATGTTCCAGAATGCTTTGAAAAATTATGTTTCTGACCTTCTGTTTTGCAATGGAACTGTGAAAACATGACTTAAGTATCACTAGTGCAGTGATCTCTGTGTTTTCAGAAAAGAAAAGTTTGTGGAGAGGTGAACTACCCAGTTCATCTCTTGGATATTTATTTCTGAAACTTAAAATATGACATTTCCATTTTTTATGTCAGTGATTTTTTTGCTGATTTGTTAGCACAAACATTCAGCTAATGCACTTAACATACAGTTCCAAACTGCCTCCCACACTTCACCACCTGCCAAAAACTCCAGTTATCCTACCAGAAATTTTATAGGATGAATGGCCATAGCCAATATAAAACACACTATAGTACATTGGAATGTGACAGTGTACTCTGGCATATAATGATTATCAAAATAAATAAAATTCTGTTAACCCTGTGTTATATGCATAGCTGAATCAAAAGTTTTGGTTTACTGCATAGTGTAATTTAAGTTTTAAGTAAGTATATAAAGCGAGGTGACAGATAAATTTAAAAGTAAACGTAAAAATCAAGTTCTCAATGTATTGACAAACTGTTTTGTTGAGTGGACTTACATGAAGGTGTTCGTGTGCTGAATTCTGCCTTCTTTTTCACATTTTCAAGAGTACTGTTACAGTTGCTACCCTGTAATTTTAACCATTCCAAGAGAATCTCTCCATCCCCTCTGAATATTTTATGTGTGTCTGTGATAACTGTAGGTAGCATTTTGTTATCCTTTTCCATTTCTATGAATACCTATGCAGAGCATGCATGAAGATGGATGGTAATATTAATGATGGTATGCAACAGCCAGAGCTGGAGGAGTAATAGAGGCTAGATAACAACTATAAAATTCAGGGTAGCCACTTCTCTGTGAGTACTTGTAATCCAGTGAGAATTGAGAACTTCAGCTCATGTTTCCTTCTGTAGAACTGGTCTAGCTGCATTGTGTTAAACTACCCTCTCTGAAGCTGAAACAAAGGGTTAGCCTTGCTATTTAACAAGGAGTATTAGGGCTTAGGTTAAGCCCAGGTTTGGCTAGGGGTAGACTAGTAGAACCATGGTGGGTAGGTCACTCAAAGCTTCCTACTAAAAGAGCTCCAAGAAGAGCACTAAATATTGCCACGATTAAACTAACTAAAGCAAAACGTTTGTTCTTGGAAACTGGGGAAAGATATTTTCTTCAGCTTTGCACCAAGCCACTGGTATGTGTCAGAGGCTGTTGTGCCTAGTTTATGTGTCTCAGAACCTACTCTGCAGTAGTACTCCTTGCTGCAGGAACAGCTGTTTTTCTTCTTCACTCTCTCCATTGATTGCTTATATTAGGGCCCCAATTTCTCCTCAGCAGCAGTTTACTTGGGGTTACTGTTTCACATGTATTTAGTATCTTAGATACCAACTAGAGAGGTTGGACACACAAGTCATAAAGAAAATCACAGACTAAACTGCAAGCATTTAAAGACAGAAGCCTGTGAAAAACTGCAGAAATAAAAGAAGAACCTGACAGAACCTCTGTATAAACATACAGATATTCAAAAAATACCTGAGAAGCTTGAATAGGCCTTCTCCTCTAACAGCCTGTGTGAGAGTAGTTATGGGCCTCTGTGAAGAAGCATAAAGGTGTTACAAGTGATCTTACCTCAAGCCAGGATGATGCTCAGTGGAAGAGAGAGTCAGGCAGTATGGAAACTTTTAACTAGACTGTTCAGAAGACAGTTCATTAGTGGTTAGCACTGCAATTGTAAAATAGCGGTTGTAGACACTTGTGCAGTGGGCTCAGGCTCTCGAGAACAGATCCTTTGAAATAACAGGGAAAATAAAAGTCAACATTTCTTCAGGGTAGATCAGGATTCTGAAACAAGCCTCCACTACAAAGAAAGTAGCCTCATCCTCATTTCATAGGCAGAATTTGTGGGAGCTGTCTGTCACTGGTGTAATAAAAGAGAAGGCAGAGACCCCCATAACTCTATACAGACAGGAAGCTAAATTTGCAAGATAGCAAATGGGGGTTATTTGTAGTGTCTGAAGAGACAGGTTCTTAGCAAAATTTGTGAAAGTTTAGCAGGATTTATTCTAACAAAGAAATATTAAAAATTACTACCTCTAGGGAACATTTAAATTGCTTGTGACCTGAGTTTTCACTGAGAACCCAGCCACTAGTGGCTTTCTGAAAATACAGCCATTATCACATTGCTTTTATTCAGTGTTACTTTGAGGGTCCCTCAGCATTACATTGTTTCCTTTTTCATGGAATTTAGCAATTCAATTTGTATTATTGGAGCAAGGGTGATTTTGAATTGAAATTGAACCAGTTCTCTTTTCAAAGTCTTCAGAGTATAGCTTGCTGAGTAACAGCTAAGATAAGTACTGTGGTGGGTTGTTCAGGTCCAGGTTGTCTTTAGGAGGCTGTGCTTTATATATGGAGGCTGTGCTTGAGTTCAAATGATGGTCAGGCTGGTCTTTTTTGTTTTCCTGTATATTTTAAGAATATAAGGTGTATGGAGACATTTTGCCATGTTTTGCTGGTTTATTTTCTTTTTCTCTCTAGTGGCATTAGGTGAATAGTGTGTGAATTTGTTTTCTTGAGAAAGTGAAGATCTAGAAAAAAAAGGTGTCATTTTCCCACCAGAATTTAGCTTTTGAACAAGCCAGCAAGAAGTATCAAGGAATTTTTGTAGTTGTGTGTCAAAATCTCAAAGTTAGAAATTAATTCTATTTATTATTTTTCTTTTGAAAATGCTAACACAGTGGAGGTTTTAGGGAGACTAGGGGGTGAAGAGCCCTTTATGAAAACGTAACAGCATAGTCCCAAGCAGCGTCTCTGTTCCTGAACTGGACTCCTGTGCGCAAGAGCCCAGAGATAGGAACAATCTGAAAGTATAGTTAACCCCTCAGTGCAGCTGTAGAGTAGGCACTCAAGATGATTTTATTTGGTTTGATTTCCAAAGGCTAACAGTAACTGTTGAGTTGCTGTATAAATTACACCTATGTTCTTTAGGCTTTTCTCCTTCATTTGCTGCCAGCTTCTTGATGGTTTGTGACATTTTTATTTTAAAAGCTTCAGAAGACAGAACACCTCTGGGGTGTTCTGGGGTTCTGTTTTGCTGTGACAAAACCATAATGTACTAATAAACTATATAATCACAAACAAACATGAATCATGATTAAAACTGGGCAAGACTGAGGCCTGGCTCCAAACTTGACAGGACCTTCATCTTTCCATAATCAGACTGATTAACAGCAACGCACTTTTATTGTGCTGATGTTTCCATTACTAGTGTCCACATAACATTTCCACAGTGTCTGCTGAGAGGAGTAAAAAACCCATTAGAATTAGGGGAAGTAAAAATTAATAATATGCATTTCAAGTTTGACAGTAAAGACCACTAATTTATGCAAAATCTTGGATCTCTACCTAGTTGGGTTGAAAACATGAGTTCAAAACTAATTTATTTGTGTTTTAGTTCTCTGGAGAACTAAACTTGATACAGAAAGTGAGTGTCAAAACTCAGTCTGAAACTAGGATGAAACTTCTTGAGCTAGTTGGTAAAGACTTAGTTTTATTTCCCATGATTCTCAGTTCTGTAGCTGTGGTTAGTTGTGGGGTGACGAACAGTTGTCTGTTTATTTTGGACATTCACCTGCCCCCATATCTTCATGAATGCCACATCCAGAAAGTATGCAACTCTTTGAAATAGTGTGTTACCATCTTCAAGGGCTTAAAACTGCATCCTGAGCTGCAAATAGACTAGAAGAATATGGGGATTAATAAAATTGTTTGGATCTAATCCGTGTAGAAGGCAGGCTGCTATTCTTCATTTACTAGTGATATCCTTCTTTAGGCTAAGGTGGAGAGTAGTGTCTGGATGCCATCCAAATATGATGAATGTGTAAGCAGTGTGGTCCAGTATGGAGCAATGAATGGAGCCTGCTTGTAAACTAGTGACAGTACTTCTGTACTTTTCCCACCATCTAGCACACTCCAGATTTTTTTAATTTTACAGAAAATCTACAAGTAAGCTATGCGTTTCTAAAGTTTTTTATATCCAAGATTATTGTATGGACCTTCAAAACAAGGTCATGTTATTATATGTCTTGTTATTGGAGACCTGAAATTAGAGTTAGCATTGGAAGTGCTAAGTCTTGATTGGCCATGGTCTACCTACTGCTTGAATGTTATTCTTGAAATGCAGCCTCTTTAGATTCCTTTAGCAGGTATGCAAAGGTACAAGCTTCTAAATTATCCTGGTCCAGGAAAAAAAAAGGCAAGTAAACACAGCAGGCATATAAACAAGACACATCATTTTGTATTTTTTGGCAGACCTAAACAAACAAACAAAAAAAAAGGTGTGGAATGTGGAGATTATTTTATCCACGAGTATCTCTCAACTCTCTCGGAGCATAAAGGGTGGGGATGGGATGTAATATGTACTGTTACCACTGTGCATGGTCTGTGTGAGACTTCCAGCCATTTGTTACAGTGGAGTGGAATTCCCAGCTGCCCAGCCTTGTCCAGGCTTCCTCAGCTTCTGCCAGGTTCCCTGCAGCCTTGGAAAGCAATAGATTGTTCAGCACCAATGTATTTATTTTTATGTTGTTACCACATTCCCAGGAGGAACCTTGACTATGATTTCAGCTGGTCTCACCACACTGTCCAAATCCCTCATCAGGAGCAGCTGGGAAAAGAAATCACTCAGGTTTCTACACAGCACATTGCTGGTATGCCTCCTCCCTCTCACTAATCCTGTTAATTCCAGTCTTCATTTGCCACCCTCCTGGCTCTCTGTGTTGTTGCTGTGACTGACTGCACAAATGGTCTTCACTTTAAAAGATGACCTTCAAATGGGCACCTCGAGTAACCTCTACCTCAGTCTACTTCGACTACTCAGGCAGAAGGTATCTTGTGACACAAAAGAGCAACTTTTGATGTCACCTCATTACTTATGCTAGTCCAGGAATGGAGTCATGATGAGTTCTTCCACATAAATCCTTTCAGAACCACCTGTTTGGCTGAGAAGCTTTGGCTGCATCATTGAAGAGGGAGCTCCTGTGTGATATCCAGCACTTTGTGTCAAACTTTCTGGTGCAGTTTCTTGCCCTGTGTATAGCCTTTGTTAACAGCAGTTCTGTCAGTATCTCTCTTGTGTTTCCATGCTGAGAAAGGATCATTGAGAAACAGAATTCGTCCCTTTTATCATACTTTGGAAAGCAGTGAAGCTTGAGTTGAATCCTACTATTGTGCCTCCCTTTTTGGGAGGGCAAAGAATCAATTACAATGGAGGACATTTAGTTGCACATTTGTTCTTACAGTTATCTTCCTAAAGCCATTGTTTTTTTATGCATCACAAAAACATCCTGAATAATTTCTCTTTTACCCCTACTGAATTCCACAGTTTTATAAAGAGGGCATACAGGAAGGGGGGAAAAATAATTTCACTCCCTGCTTTAGTTGATGAATCAGTTCCAGGTCAGATAATGACACACAAGCCTGTAGTACCAGATGGGCCAGAAGGGAAAGGAGAAGGGTAAAGAGGCTTTCTTTTTACCCCATTTCTTAGTACTTTTTGGAGGGGCAGGGAACCATTATCTTATGACTGACAATGAGCAAATATTAATGTTTCGAATCAGTACCTTTAAAATAGATACAACTTATCAACAGGACATGACTATGTTTGAGTTTACCCAGTTCTGAGAAAAGTGTATGTAAGTCTCATTAAGTCTCAGCTGAGTATAAAGTGCTGCCAGAAGCAGCGTTCCAGGCCCTTCTTAGATGATGTTAAGAAGATAATATCCAACTCAGCCATCACCTCTCGGATAGAACTGAGGGTCAGTGTTCACTTATAATCATCAGAAATTATGTTTATTCCTTAACTTGTGAGAGCAGCCTGCCTCTCACATTTTTACTCAACTTTCTGCCTTTCTTTTATGAAAGGAAGGAGCTTTTTCCTATTGCTGCTGGTCTTATGCCACTGAAAGGACATTCCACATCTCAGGACTCTTCCAAGAAAGCAGGAGAAAATGGGAAGAGCAGTCTTTAGAAATCAGCTTCCCTGTCAAAGAACTAGGATTCAGCTTGAATTTTAGGAGCCTTTGCTTCTGACAAACTCTGAAGCAGGATAAGTAATGATTGCAGGCAGTTGGCATTTTTGCCTGATTGGAGGCTGGACATTGCTTGTTTTCAGCAGTGAAGCGATGGCTAACTGCCTGTGTTTCCTTGCTGTTTTGGAAATGTCATTCAAGATCAGGTGTGCAAAGACTGGGGAGAGGTTATATAATATTTTGGCTGCTTCTGTCTCACATCTGGTACTTTGGCATTAAGCTACCTATAGAGGGGATGACTTTGCCCATCCAAACTGGATTTTGTTTGAATCTGGCATTGTTTTATTGAGGCTAAAAATAGAAGCCAAAATGTGTGTGAATAGGCTGAAATGTGTGTCTGAAGTTATGAAATGAAATATGGGGAAAAGCCAGAGAAGAAAGAGCCACAGTGAACCAGGGAGTAGAGAGGTGAATAAGAGAAATCAGAAAGAAGGCTGTCAAGTACAGAAGGGCATTAGCAGTTGGGATGAGTGTGTGGTGTTTTTAACATGGAAAGCAGGAAGGCTCATGCTGACTTCCACTGGTATTTCTCTACTTGTCAGTGAGTCTGATGCTCACTGCATTTTTATGCAGGAAGACTTTTCTGGAATACAGTTGTACGTACTGTTCATGACATACACATCACACTCCCCACATCACTTCCCCACCCCCGAAGCAAATTTTCATGACTTGGAATTGCTGCTTTCCCTTACCTTCCTGGTCCAGCAAGTCAGGTTGAAATTGTGCCCAAAATATGGGGGAGGGAAGGCTGGCTTTCTGTTGTCAGCTGTCCTGGCTTGCTAGTGCCAGTCACCCATAGATATAAATAAACCTCATTTATTTATTGCCTTTCTTAGTTATACTTTATATTATCAAGAGAATGCTGGGCATCATTCTGAGATCAGAAATTCATTCTGGGATAAAAAAAATCTGAATTTCTAGGATCATCGTAGCTTTTCAGGGAGAAAATAAGTTCCTGTTTTCAACACTAGATTCAGGAGGCTTTGGTATGCTGCTCAGTTATCCCACAAATGGGTTGTAAAAAATGTAAGTAAAAAGCTGTAAAAAATACTGGCATGAATTCCTGACCCAGTACTATCATCTAGCCTTGTGCTCTTCTCTGTCTTATTCCTGCAGCTTGGAAGCACAGTAGATTAGGTGCTGGTTTGTGATCAAGGCAATGTACTTCTATGCTGGGAAAGTCTGTATGGCACTGAATTTAGTGTGCAGATATCTCTTAAATGACTTCATGCAACTCCTTTGATTTTCTTGTGACTCAAAATCATATCCATAAAAGGGAGGTAATCCTTTGCTTCCCACTGTGACTGTTCTGAGTTTTTGAGGTGCAGTCATGGATGACATAATAGTGTGTAAACATGGGGACAGACACACGGGCAGATACTTTGACACCTCCTGGCAGGCAGAGAATAAAGAAGGCTCATGCTGTTGTATGTGGTGACTCACTGCAATGACTCCGGCACTGGAGAGAACCGACCCTTAATGCTGGCTGCTGTCAGCAACAAACTCTTTTTCTGTTCCCCCTACTAAACTGGAACCTCCATCTACTCAACTACAAGGAGGTGGAATGTTCACCAGTAGCTTTGAAATTATAAAACTTCAGAGAATCATATATATTAAAATTTATGAAATTACTGGTTTGTCAACGAGCCACACCCTTGTTAGGAACTTACACATTTACTTGCAGACATAAGAATGCCCCTCTCTGTGTTGAGTCCTCAAGGTAATCATGCAAGAACTCAAGGAAAGTGATTTTAATTCTGTTTGTGAGAAAAGACAAACTGCTATGCATTTATGTAGGAATAGGAGGGCTCAAACATCTTCAAAACAGGAAAATGAGGTTGAAGTTGGCTGCCTACTCTTATGTGCCTTTGTTTCCTTAAATTCAGCATATTGCCAAGGGATACGTTTCTGGACTGGTATCCTATCTTAATACACATGGTTGACAGTTTGATTCCTAATTCAGTTTTCAAACTTCCTGTGCAGTAACATAGCTGGCATTTCCACTTTCTAAACAACTTTCCAGATCCTCTGCTCTGTGATGTTTGGCTCTATGCTGGACTTTCAAGGAGAGTGTATTTTCTTTAAATATAGCAATATTTTTAACAAACAGCTCTCAACAAATGTCACTTATGTTTAGGAGCAAGCTGATGTGCCAAATACACAGGACAAGCTTTACCTACTAGATTAGCTGTAAAATGCAAGCAGTCCAAAATAAACTTGGTACATTTCTAAGTGTTTTCGATTTTTCTTTTTAAAGGGCTGTCTGAGGATGTTTAAGTAAAAGAAGTGAAGATGACATCGACATTTTCCCATAATGTGCCTAAATAGTAAAATGCTGCAGTATGTAGAAGTCAAAACTGTATCTTTATAATAATGGGGTGGGGGGAGGTTGAAATTCCATATTCTGATTTTGTTTCTTTTTAAAGATCAACCTTTTCACACCCCTAGCTCTCCTGTACCAAGGTCCTCAGCATGTGTTGGAGTGGGGAAGTAGACTCCCGTGCAAGCAAATGAGTAAAAGACCCAAAGAAAAAGATAAAGCATGCTGATATGGAAGATAAAGCGTGCTAATATCCTCTGATGTTAGAGGAGGGTGCATGTGAAGAGATGAGTCACATGAGTTGAAAGCAAGAGTGAAGAAGGTATTCTGGTGCTTGAAGGGAATACTAAGAGTACTTTTTCGCACAGTAGCTTACTACATTAGGTTTTGTTATACTGGTCTGTGATCTCATCTATTGTGGCAGAGAGGTTGTGTGATAGGGACACCCAGGTTTCTGGTGATGGCTGAGTTTTGCAGAGCAGTGCAGCAATTTTTCCCACAAAACAGTTCTCCATGATTACCTGAAATCTTTGAGTAAAAAAACCTTGGTTTTTTTCCCCAGCTTCTTCTCGCAGAGATGGATTAACACAGAACTCCAGGTGAGGAATCCCCAGAGTTGCTTCAGGTATGGGATGAGGGAAGAAGCAGCAACAGTGACTTCACACCATCACATTCCTGTATCAGCCAAAAAAGAGAGAAGACCTTGGTGAGAGAGCAGCCCACTGAAAAGAGTGTCTAAACAACTGTGGAAGCAGATTATGGTGATGTACCTGCAAGCTGAAATGAGTGAATGCTGCTGAGAGCTTCTGCTGCTGAGTCTTTGTCCCTTCCTTCCATTTCCTCTTGATCACTAACTGTGAGATCTTTGTGTAAGACAAGAGACCTTTCCTGCAGGTGCTCTTCATAAAGTCCAGGTTTGAACATAAAAGTCTCACCTGCTCAGCCATTTCAATCTGTTCTAGTCTGGTAATAGCCAAGATTCCATGCTTTCATCACATGGCAACCATCAGTAGAGAAAAATACTACAACATGCAACTGGAGAGGTCTGTGTTGGTTGCCATCTTGAATTTTGGCACAGAGCCATAGAAATTAACAGTTTAAATAAAGTATTTTCATTTGTTTGTTTTGGTTATAATTTCAGTTATTAATTCACACGCTCAAAATATTTGCTGTTGTTATACTGGACAGGATTTTAAATCTGTCTTTGTTTCACTGTGGGATACTTGTATTCTGTGTGGCTTATTTTGTATTTTGATTTCTGTTTGTTTAGACTTTGTAAACTTTTTAAATTGGCTGATGTTTTCAGACCCAGGCTTGAACCCCAAGGCCCAGGTGGCTCTTATCAGTTGCAATAGTGTCATGGTGAAGCACTCCAGTTAAAATTTGCCTAGTGTTATGAAAATCAGTTTGCTTGTGTTAGAAAACAATGTCAGCAGCTGGAAATTGTATTGGAGAGAGAAGATCCATCCATCCTTAAAATGAACAGGAAGCAGCTTCAGCTCTGGCTCTTTGTTGGTGCCAAGTTAAAGGAAAACGCAGTATTTTGCAACTTCTGCCTTGTCCAACAGCAAGGGGTGTGATTGATAGTTCTCAAAGGTAAAAAACCTTTGACTGCTTGTATCAGAGTCTTCAGAGATTGGATTCAACATCCTTTTTGATCTCTTCTTCCTCCACTTCCCCCTGTCTTTTCTAGTTTGTATAGTCAGTGTTAAGAGATCATTCACATGTGTTGACAACTAGATAGTGATGAACCCAGAGGACTGACAGAAGAAACGGTATCAGAGGGGGAAGGTGTTTTCTCTTGAAATGATTATGTTCATGTTCACTCTTGGATTCCACATATTTTTTGTCACTCAAGACCAGATAAATTGTGAGAAGGTTGAATTATTATGTTCATATTAGTTTCACCATCACTTGCTTCAGGCATGAATTCAGGGGAGAGAACACTCATTTTTCTATTTCTGGTACACTCACACGTGTGACACATTGAATACTTCACTTGTCTGAAATGCAGCTCTTTGATAAAGCAATTCCCTTCATTATCTTATCATTCATTTCCATTAGACAGTCACGATCACATTCACTTTCTTCACATTTCTGTTGGCTCATGATTAGTGAAAGTTTAGTTGCAGAAGTTGTTACTTCAGACTTTTGCACATTCTCAGCAGCTGTGGGCTTCAAGAACTCAGGTCTGTCCTCTCACAGCCTACTCTGCTCTGTGTGGTATTGGCTATCATCTCCAGCTCAGTTGGAGGGGCTATTTCCATGGAAGATTTAGCTTCAGTAAATAATTCCATTCCTTTCTTCCTCCCAAAGGATCTGGGTTATCCTTATTCCACTGGGTTTTATGTACAAGATTGAGTAGCTGTAGGATATACATCCTTGTGGACCTCTCATCTCTGCATTTGTTCTATAGTTTGTTTGTTCAGATTATCACAGCCACTGCTGAAAACTGTAGAGAGGTTTGTGGGATAGAGATTTAGTTAGCTCAGGAAAGGTGGTTGTCTTGTAAGAATCATTGTCAAAAGCAACATTCTTACGTCTTCGTGAAGAAAATTACCAATTAGTGCTGCCTTATTATGAACACAGGGGAATTGTTTTGTGAGCTTTGACAGTCTCCTACCCACTCATTTTGGGATAATGATTTAAACTTGGTTACAGACATTTTCCCTGAACTTCTCTGCATTGCATGTTAGATGTAGTCAACCCCCACATCTGTAACTGTGATGACTTTGTAGCAGTATATTAAATATCCTGTCTGTAAGATTTTTTTTAAATATTCAGAAAAATGCACAGTGCAGTCTAAGACACTTACTTTGAAGGGATGAATTTTGTCAGGAGCAGTGAAGATTTGCATCTTTTTGCCTGAGAAAATTTTTCTTCTGTTTCCAACAAATAAAAAAAAACAACCCAGGAGTATCAAGCCTGAAGCCAAACACCTAGACCTTACACCTAGACCTTGAATTCCTGTTTATTCTCAGCATGTGCTCCTCCAGAGCATCAGACGACATAGCAGTATTCCTCTGTCTTGAGCATCTCCTGATCCCATCTCTGAAGACAAATGCTGATATACTGGGAACATGTGCAATTGAGAATCAGGAACAAATTCTGCTATTCTAGCCTCTTAATATTCTGTTCCTCTGTATTCTTCAGCCTGGAGTCCATCTGTCTTTGTGCATGGTGGGTACTGTGTACTGAAGGGTAATGTATATTTTGTCTCTTTGCAGCTCTGCTACCTCCATGTCTGTCCCTTTCCATAAGCCTCTCAGTGCTGCAGTTAAGAGAGTCAGTGGGGAAGTATAGAACTGTTTCCCACCCATCTTGGGAGAGAAGGCATTTTACAGGAATTTACAGGAAGTTTTCTACTATGAGGGAGGGAAGTAGAATACCAAACCATTTTGGATATATAATATTGCACAAGGGGAGTAGAGTTATATGTGTTCCTCAAGTGTGGGGTTTTTTTCCCCCTGTATTCATCAGTGGTTCCATCAGAAGTGTCCTTCTTCACTGCATGAAAATTACTAATAGAAAGCTCCAACAGTCATTCAGCATCTATCTCAGTGGTGACAGTGAATATTGTAATCAAAGGATCTCCCTCTTCTGTGATGTTTGTATCACTTCTAAATTACTGAGCCTGTTTTAGTGACAGAGAATCAGGCTTGTTAGTCTTGATAGCAGTAATGTGCACATCAGAGTTCTGGAGGCTGAGCTGATGACAAGTTGATGCAGCATTTTGTGCTGTGTTTTAGGTGATGAGCTTACCACTACATAAAAATTAAGGGAAGAGATTATAGATTCTCTCCTTTCTGGAAGAGCTGACTTGTGCTCAATACATCAAGTATCAAGTTTCCTTTTAATATGTTTTATCTTGACCTTTAAAAGAGCCTTACAAGGCATGTGAGTGCCATCAGAGGGAGATTATGTTGTGACCCTAGACAAACCGCTTAGTCTTGGATGCCAACAAGATGTACTGAAATTTCTATTCTCAAGACTAGGTGTGTTTTTGGACAATCATAATTTGTTGGAAATGTTCCTTGCTATGATGTCTGCAAAGTCAACAGATTTATCTCTGATACTGGTTCCACATTGTGGAAGGAAGTTTTTGGTATCAAGACCTTTATTTACTAGTAGGAATCTCAATGCTGTGCCTTTTCCTCTTAACAGATACTCTCCATGTGCATGGAGTTGAATGGCTGGCAGTGCTAGACTTGCTCTTTACCTGAGGAGCTCAGTGATATACAGATGACTTTACAGAGCAGACTTGGATTCTCAGCATGCATTCTCTAAGGCCTGTACCCTGTGTTAATACAACACTTCTAGTAATTTTGGATTATTTGCTGGAAAAAAAAAGGTAGTCTGGCTCCTGTTTTATTTTTTAAGATTTATTTGATAAAACTGCCAAGGACTTTTTTCCTCAGTCAGTCCTATATTTGCTGATAATCCTGGGCTCACTATTTGAATCTGAATTGGTTATTTGCTGATGTGTAAATAGTTGGATTTTTTTGGTTGCAGTAAGTGGCTGGTTGATCCTCTTCAAATTATTTCCCTTCTGAACACATTATTCTCGTGGTTCTGTCATAAGTTTCTTCCAAAAGACTCTTCTGAGCTTTACTTGAATCTGGGGCTGTGCTTTTTTTCCTTTTAGAACCTGATGTTTCTAGAGTTGAGACATCCTTGTTTACCCCAAACATCAGGAGAACCATATTTACCTTTGCAGAACTGAGATTGCTTATGCCAACAGCTTAACATTCATAGTTTTCTTCATGCAGAAAGTGGTTAATTGGAAAAGAGATGAGCAAGAAGGTATATAAGGGAAAAGTTGAAAAAGGAGTAGTTGTTCACAATCATACTCACTAGAAGGATTGAAAAGACAAGTAAACAAATCCATGAAAAAGTAATCTCTTAGGGCATATTAAATATTAAAACTGAAAACCAGGAAGTTTCTAAGACTTTACAAATTACTATTCTGGGGGAGTCTCACAATGGGCTGTTACAAATTTTTACTTGTGTATCAGGCATGGGCTGTTGACCTCTGTCCAAGAAGCGCTAGACTAGGTGGTCTTGTAGTCTGACTTTGTATGGGTTTTTTTATTTTGACAGTTGCAGTACAGACTACTAGAACAGCCAGGACAAAGCCACTTTCATGACAATGGCATGTTCCACCAGAATTCATCCTTTGGTGTTGAGTTTTCTTAAGACAAAAAAAAAAAGAAAAGTGTTTATTGCTGACATATGCCAGCTTGTCACGTGCAACTTGTCTTTGCTTTCACCTGGGTGGGCAGAGGCTTTCAGTTATGAAACTTCTTTTAAAAGAACATAACAGACACCAAGATCTACCTCTAGACTAATTGGGATTTTGGAGGAAAGTAGATTGCCATATGGATGGCTTCCATAATATGATCCTTGTAAATAGTTAATCGCATAAATATGGTAAAAAATCTTTCCACTAACTGTAGCTTTTAAGTTATCTTATTCAAATACATTTCACTTCTTGCCATCTTTGTCTTCCAAAGAGCTTGAGTGCAGAGCACCTTCAGGGTGAATGTACACAACAACCACAGCATGTCTTAACCTGGTAACTTGTTCCTTCCCACTTTAGAACACTGCTGTCCTTTTCCAAAGAATGAAGTTTCCCTGCTGACTTAGAGATGAGTAGTTAGGAAATGCAGACTGGTCTCAAAATTGTTGGATTCTGAGTCTTCCTTTACAGTTGTAATGCAAAAGGACAACTCCACTGAACTGAAGGTGACATGTAACACCAAGTCTGCCCTGAGGAGTCTGCTCTATTACCTTACCAAAAAAGGATTTTATTGGCCCTCATTGAAAAGGAGTTTTCACTGCTGTTTTGAATTAAAAGGGAAGAATCACTGATCGCTGTGGAGACCCTGGTATGAAGCCTTTGTCAGTGGTATTCAGTGAATCATAGTGGTTCCCAAGGGAAACAACTATACTTAACAGGCCCTCTTCTCTACAAGGCCATGCCTACAGCACAGACAGTGAGCTTGAGAAATCTTGTATTCTTTGAAAAGGAGTGGCTTCTCTATCTGACCTATCAGACAAATCAAATTTGCCTTAAAAAGACCAAATTTGATGCAGTTGTTGACGATTCAGGGGCTGTTAAAAATGTGTC